AATATAAATATTTTAAATCTTCTACATACAACTATTTCCCTCCCTTCCAGATACTGAAAATCACAGAGATGTATATTGTGTGAAGTATTAATTATCATATGAAGCCCTGTTATACTCAATGGCTTTCCAGTGGTGTTGAACTGTTTAGTTTTTGTAAATAACATTTTTGAACTTTAGTGAAAAGTACAGAGATTGGAATTCATGCTTTTCAGTACCCTTACCATCTGATAGATTCCAGCCAATAGAAAAGGTGGTGGACCACACAGCTATATTTATTTGGATGAAGATTTAGCTACACATGTTGGTCAGCATTAAAGTAAAAAAACAAAATAAACCAAACCAAAATAACAAAACCCAGGTTTTTCATATCTAGAAGGAATAACATATTTGTAAGAGTAGAGTCTGCTTATAGTTGCACTAATAAAGGAAAATACAGTGAAAATAACTTCTGCAGTCGTATCTAGAAGTAACATCTTTTACATTTCAATTAACTCCAACTAAAAATACTATTTCTCTTTAATTATTCAGTATGAAAACAACAACCTTTTTTCTTTCTGTTCTGTACTAGAAGTAGGGCAGCTATTAAACAGGGGTGAAAGATGAGCCAGTATTATCATTATATAGAACAGCAACTAAAAATCAGCTTTCATGAAGGTGCTTAGGTTCAAATCAAGAAAACATTCAATTTCTGTAGTACCATATGGACATATACGGAGCCTACACTTAAATTACATGTTAAGATGTAATGTGCTTACACATTTGTCTGAATTAGGACCTCTGACTAACACACAGCTGGCTCTAAAAAAGGTTCAAAGACATCAAAGATGGGAAGAAACTCATTACCTTCACTGTGCCAAAATAACCACCTGACATGGATAAAGCTGTATTTCTTATTTCTTTTCTTAGTTTTTGAAAATTGAATTCATTGATGTTTAGCCATTTTCTTTCAGAAACTGTAAAATAATTTCTTTGTTAAAACCTTGCATTTAAAACTTTAGCCTGCATTAAATTACCTTAGACAAAACTATAAATCCCTAAAAATAAGGTTTTACAACAGAAGTGCTGACAAAACCCTAACTAAAGGAGCACCAGAGACCCTGCTATAATAATAAAATAACAAACAGAAGAGGAAAGTTAAGACTACTTTGGAGGAACCCGCAMAGTCTGTCTGTTTGTTCTGGTTTACTGAACTATTCAATGTGGGATTGTTCAGTAAAAACAGAGTTTATAGGAATGCATTTTTCTGTGTAGTTCTGCAAACCAAGACAAAAGTGACATGTGAGATTGAAAGGCCTAAGGGATTGGTCATTGCAAAGCATAGCTGAAATGTCTGCATTTCTTTTCTCTGCTCCTTTCCTCTCCTGCCCTCCAGCTATAGAAAGAGATGAGAAGTTCAAATCAAGTCATATTTCATACTTACTTGCTGTATTTCAATATCTATAGGAATTCCCCTGGTCGCTTTATTCTGGCGCCACAGAGCTGGCCCTGCTTTGTACCTAAAAGCTCTCACTGATGAGGACTGTGGTCTGTTAGCTTCTGTTGCCTTTAAGTAATACCTTTAGTACTTGCTAATATCTGCTTCTCCAGAGGAAAAATAATATTTACAAGGAGGTTAAGTGACACACTGACCACAGGTCTGATGGCTGTGGGGTCTCCCCACATCCATCTCCAATGCACATCATCCCCACTAGCGTCCTGTGATGCCACAGCAGTGCTTGCCCCAGGACCTCCCATCCCTGTCCTTATCCGCATGGTGGACCCTCCCTAGGTGGATCTGCCCTAAGACCCTCCTTAGGGCAGGAAGACAGGCCATTATAGCTGTGCTGGTAGCCTCTGATCTCCACCATATGCCATCAGTGCAATGGGTATCTGATAACTGTTGCACAGCTCTAGGACTGAAACATGCTTTCTTCTGACCACTGGGACCCATTCTACTCCTCCACTAAGAATAAGGTCTATGACAACTCACCAGTTTCAGGCCTACCAGAAACAGGAGTAGTGGGAGCAAAGCTGCATCCTGGTTGGGGCAGCTGCAGGAATGCTGGTCACCCACAACTGGGATCTTTCCCATTGAAGGACATTAGTAGTGGCTGAGGATGTATATTTGAAACCTCAATTATGGCCCGAGTTACTCTTAGAGGCAAAGGGAGACCCATTCCCTAAAGAGGTGCAAAAATGAAAGAAAGAAAGAAAGAAAGAAAGAAAGAAAGAAAGAAAGAAAGAAAGAAAGAAAGAAAGAAAGAAAGAAAGAAAGAAAGAAAGAAAGAAAGAANAGAAAGAAAGAAAGAAAGAAAGAAAGAAAGAAAGAAAGAAAGAAAGAAAGAAAGAAAGAAAGAAAGAAGGAAGGAAGGAATGGAGGGAGGGAGGGAGGGAGGGAGGGAGGAGTTGCTTTCTTAACCTAAATAAAAATTACTGCATTGTGAAAATTGCTTTACTAGGGCTTTGGGATTTAGCTCAGATCTTCCTGAGGTTCTCCAAAATGTCAACCCTTGATAAATTCCAGGACAAAAAGCATCTCCCACTACATTGTTTCTAGCTTTGCTATCAAGCTCCTCCAACTTTTCAGTGCAGTATTTAGGGGCAGCCAAGTAGCTCCCTGGTTCACTAATGCCCTGAACTACTTGAATCCTGTTGCTGAGCATTTGGGGGAGTATAGTCCTTTTGTTTTGGGATTTGGAAAATGCATCATAAATTGGTCTCATATTTTAATGTATGTGCTTGATGGCGAGTTCGGTGGCTGTAACCTGTAAGGAAACAGAAGAGTGACTTTCAATCTTCACAAAGGAAATATAACAATTTATAGTTAAGGTCACCGAATGTGTTCTTCAGAGACACGCTTGAATTACAAGTGGAGCTTGGAATGCTTTAGGGAAAAGGGAATTTCATTGCAGTRACAGTTGGTGATTAAAATACATATATATATGTATATATGCAGGTGTGTATGTATGTGTACATATCTATATTTATGAATAATCAGGCAGAAACTCATATATTTCTTTCTACTTAATGCCTTGGGGGTTGTCCATAAGCATTGCATGCTCTTGGCTGTGTAGAAAAGTAGTTTCAGATGACAATCTGTTTTCTTTCTTCTGAAGCTTTAGCAAAGAGCATAACACTRGACACATCTTGTAATAAGGGTCTTCTGCTGTTTTTAGCAGGTCTTGAATCAGAAAGAAAGAAAAAAAATACTCCAGGCTCTCACAAATGGGCTTACTGCTTTCTGCATCCTTCTTTTCTTGTGCTTGAAGAAATCTTTTGCATCCCCCTGAATTGCCCAGCTGATCATGAGGGCTAATTTTGGGACAAGTCTTTGGAAGACTAGCAACAAAACCAAAACATCCTCACAATATCCTTTTGAAATTGACATCTCTATCCTTGTTTTATATAGAAAGTGAAATAATGGACAAAGACAGATGAATGGTTCAGTGAGGACTAGCCAGTGCTGGTTCAATTATTGATGTGCCATACAGAAAATAATGACATTTCATTCCCCTACTTCTTGTCTGTTCCATTTAAACTCTGTGTTCTCTAGGGCAGCATTTGTCTCACAACATTTGTACAATACCTAGTGCAYGGCGTTTTGCTTTTAGGTAGCCACTATTTAGAGGTCCCTCTCCACTTCCAAAGAGCTGCTAAAATAACGTAAAATTCAAAGGTATGTTGACAACAGACAGAACTTAATTTTTTTATGTGATTTCTGAGACAGGCAGTTCCCAGCAGAAAGCAGTATAACCATATTATAGCTATATTAGCACAGCACACAGTGGACTTGATCATGCTACAGATGTCCCTGATGGTTGCATGACTTGCAGGGCAACTTAGTTTGTACATGGGCAGCGTGGTTGGTGTGTGGGGGGCTTTGTCTGCCCAGATCCAGGCACGTGTGCCAAAAGACAGGGTGAAGATAAGTTTGCAGCTTTCAGTTYAGGTATTTGAGGAGTTTGAACTCTCAAAAAGGAACAATAAACTATTAATAAAATAGCAACACTTCTGGCCTAGTAAACAGAATTCATATACACTGATAGCATTATATTGGCAAAAATGCACTCCATATGCTCATGAAGGTTACAGGGCACATTTCCATGTAAACAGTCAAGACAGTGAACTTCAAATATTTGGAAGAAATGTTTATTTAACAACTGAATACATGCTAAAAGAAATAATTTACAGCAGCAGTTTCATTACATTTTTTTTCTCTCCAGTTTTTTAGTTCCCATCCGAACTGAAGTGATAAATACAGAAGCAGAATATTTACTAACCAGTGAGGAATGTGCTTATAGAATAAGCTCATAACTTTGGTACTGATGTAGCAAATAAACCACCCTATCACCTGTGTGGCAAAATCTTGCATTTTAGTATTATGCTGAACACACTGAAATGGAGTACCTCTAGATAACAGTACTTTACACTGTACCTCCTTATCTAGTCAAAAAATATTTACATCTCTTTTGGCTAATGTGTAGGTAGCAAAAATTGAACTATTAAACACATACCATTGATATTCACTAAATAATACATTAAAAAAAAAAAAAAAAGAAAGGATCAGTAAATGCGCATTCACATGCATTTAATTTAATTTTATATTTTTACATAGTGACTTTATTGGGTCATGAAGATTTAATGCTGTTCTGCAAAGATGTACATTATCTTAGTCTGATGTTATAATTTAACATAACCACACAGCTTTTAGGAGCCATTGAACAAATTCCCATCTTCAGTGATCCATGCAAGTGCAAAGCATAGACTAGCAAGAATAATATTCAATGATTATGACTTTTTGTTCCTCGCAAATGGATATCTTAAAAAAATGCTTTCTAGTTATAAATGAAATCCTTTTATTTCTCTCCAGCTGAAACACAACTTTCTACTTTATCTGAAGTCTGTAACTAGAGGTTTAGAGAGTTTTTATTGATGATTTGTAGAAATATTTTAACTTTTATTTTCGATTCTTATGTTGCATTACAAATAATGATACAATGGGAGTTTCACGGAAGCTGCACAGAATCCTTCTATACATTAATTCATTAAGGGCTACGTTCTTTGAAAAAAAAAAAGTTCATTTTAAATTAATACCAAATTCTATTTTAACTGGATCATAATATTAACCTGAAAATCAACAATTTCAGCTGTTGGCTTGATCCTCTGCCCTCTTACTTGTATGAGCTGATATAAAGATATGAATAAGATTACTCCTTTAAAAGAGACCTGATGGTACAATTGAAGTAGGTAAAATCTGATCATTTAAATTGCTCAATTAGACTATTAGGATATGGTAAAAGCCTTGCAGCTTCTGCAATTTTGTTCCTGTTGATTACCYTTCTGCAGAGAAGAACATATCTCAGCATACCCAGTTCATTTAATCTTTGTTTTCTTAAAGAGTGAGGGAAAGAGGTTGGTTTGGTGTTGATTTTTTGCAGTAATTGCTGTAGAAATGAGCATAGTAGGGGGAAAAAAAGGCAGACAAATACCATTAACATGTGAGAAAAGAAACTAAAGTCATTTAGAGTTTGTTGAAATCAATCTGCATTTTTCTCACTGAATTCTCTGAGCTTCATGTTAAAACTGTTTCCTTTTGTAACAAAGAGTATTCTAATGATTCGATGGTATACAATAGCCCTACACAAAAGGCTAAAGAGTGTTCTGTGATTACAGTTAAATACTTCAGCTGACAACAATGTTCACAAATTAATCATGGACTAAGCTGAAAAAATTAATACTTCTGTACAGGAAAGCACATATTGAATCTCTGTTTTAATTCAGCCCTATTCAACACCTCATGAAAGCATGGGAATTGAACTGCCTATTAAAGCTTCACAGGCATCAAGTTAAGCATAAGAGAGATTTCGGGTTGCTCTAAAATTAAATACCCAAGTGCTCTCCTGAACCATACAGCCTAATCATACTCTATTCAATTAATTTTTACTATAGAATTAAAAGGATAAAAATGTTGTAAGTTCATTCCCTGCAAAAGATTTAAAGGGGACAAAAATGTCTGGGCCTTTAGTGAAAACCAAATAGCTGTGAAGGGAAGGAGGCCAAGACTTCACTAATCAGAAAGATACTTTAATTACTAAGTGTCAAGGAGACTGGGATATATTATGAGGGAGATGCTGTCACAGCAGTTGTGCTATATTGTGTCCGATAAGGCTGATGATAGTGTTGTGATTCATAAATTAAATAATCTGGAGTGAAAAGCAACAAAACASATCAGTCATCAAGACAGACACACTTCTATATAAAAGCTCATTTAGCAAACTAAGGACTTTGTTCTACAATTGTTTCCCACAGTAACATTACTTGAAATTATTTACTGAYTCTATCAAGATAAAATATGGGACACTGGATCAAGATGACCTCAAAAGAACTGGACACCATAGAACTGGGGACCAAAGGCACATCTGTGCTGAGGTGAATCAAATCCACTACTTACATCCCTAAACTGACACTTACGGTGCAAGTGCATTGTTATCTGTTTTACCCTGTTGCTCTCCTGCATATAGAATTAAACATAAGATAGAAGTACAGGACCAAATTATCTGTTAGCATAAACTAACAGACATCACAAGCTGAATTTGATCAATTTACTGCAGCAGGCTTCACAGAATGACTGAGGTTGGAAGGGACCTTTGGAGATCATCTAGTCCAACTCCTTTATCACAAACAGAATAGTGGCTTAGACCTTGTAACAGAGAGATAGCTATGAGGTTACTATTTACGTGGCCTTATGCAGATTATTTGCATTTGGTTGATCTGGGTCCACAGAAAGGATGGAGCACTGAGGATCAAAATTGTGGACATATTTCAACCACTGAGCTGGGAACAAAATGCCTCAAACTGAAGGTGAGCTTTGCTCACAGATATATGACAATATATGAGCCACAGTATTTAAATATTAGCATTCACATATATTTATGAACCAAGAAAGCAAGAGTGTCATTAGTAGAGGGTATTTTAATGTTATTTACTTTTAATTAAAAAAATATACAACTGAAATCAAATGCTCTCCTTTTCATTGGTTCAATCTATAGCAAGATATTATACAAGCTAAATCATTCCAAATATCATACTTAGGAAAAAAAAAAAAAAAAAAAAGAATGCAGAAGACTTCCATGCTATACAGAGAATTTCATGTTAAAGTAGCTTAGTTTTAAAACTGCTTTGAAGTTACATGTCATATAGACTATTGGGACAGAGGGGAGGAGGTTAACTGCAGTGCAACTAGCTCCCCTGAAAGAGTTTCCAAATGAAAGAGTAAAGCAGCTCGTAAATGGAAGTTGTCTTTTTTTCCTCTAAACCAATAATTAGAAAGTACAATAATTCTAAGACAAAAAGTCTAATCTATTTTAGAAAAGAGCTAATGTTTGCTGCATATTTGTCATGGTACATTTAAATTATAGTTTTAATAAAATACATCTTTAGATCAAAGCTGGAAGAAGTCATCAGTAGTAGGCCAGTGTACTCCACATTTTTTGTTCTTCTGGATGATGGATGGCTTATGTTGTTCAGGTTCCCACAAACAATCTCATTAGATATTGTTTTCCTTTTCTAGTAAATATAAACAGGAGAACTGGTAGACAAAACAAGAACAAAATCCTTGTGTCCAATCACATGTTTAGACGGTCATCAGCTTAATGAATTCATGCAGTTTTATATATAAGTCTAGGAATGGCAGTGTTGATGATGGAAGGTGGGTTTTGTTTTTCTTTCCTTTAAGATGGCAGCATGAAATACAGCATTTTGTTTATATCTTAGGCAACAGAGAAAGCAAAACCTGCCTGCTGAACACCTGCAGAACTTTTTTAGCAATAAGCTAGGTTCAGGTAAGTTATCTCTTGAAACTCTGGTTGTTCTGGTCTTAGACTTGGTGCAGAGAGGAAGAATTTACTAGGAAAGTTAGAAATTGATTTTTTCTTTAACCTGGTGGAAATTGTTTGAGCTTTCCACTCTTGTAAACATCCACATAATGCCATGAAAAAGTTCATGTATATTGCATTTTTTTCCAGTTATCTGTCTATACAAGTTTCTACTTGGATGAGGTTCCTAGAGGTAATGTAGCTCAGACACTCCGTGGTGCCCTCTCAAATTCATGGGTCCTCCTGTTCCTACCTTTTTTATTCTCTTGTAGGTGCTTCCACTTATTCGTATTCACCTGCGTATTAGAAGGCCTTTGCCGACGTTGTTTGCGGTCTCTTTTCCAAACCTGCTCACAGAACTCATCCATTGTGTTAAGGTTGGGATGATTGATTAACTGCATGAAGTCTCTATACCAGATTTTTTGACTGGGAGTCATACTATTGGTGGCATCCTTGATCTTGGCGGCATCACCATCTTCTTCTTTATGGAGCAGCTCTTCCAGGTGATCAGTATCAATCACTTCCAGGGTCACTTTGAGTAGAGTTTGCATGAAGCCATGCTCCACAGCATGACAAAAGTAAATACCAGAGTCTCTCCGTTGGAGACTTCGCAGCAATAAACCTTGTTCTGTCCGTATCATACGATCATTAACTTTTATCTGTATTGGAAAAAAGGGAACATTTAAAAAGTTAGCTTTTATCAATGTGCAGAATTATCCTTTAATCATACTAACTTCTCAGTATAGTTCCTTTCAGGTAGTGAAATCTCTCCCCTCTCAAACAAACAATAAAAGAAACTCACACATGGGCTGTTTTGCCAGTCATCTGTAGTTACTGAAGGCTCAAAACACTCTAGAAAAAACTACTGATCTGCTGCAAAGAATATTTAGAGGATTATGGTTTTGCTACTCAGTCCCTACTCAGTATTTGCTGGTAGATGATCAAATCAATATACATACATTTGGCTACATTACAGAGGACACTCTTGCCATGTTTTAGTCAAACCCAAATTGCTATCTAGGGTTCTCTTCGTGAAATGTTCCTTACTATAAAAGTCTTTATGCATAAAAGTGTGCTCTGGACAAGTGAAAATCTAACAAAGAAACAACAAGAATTAAATCTCAAAATTTTAGTATTCAGTAAACAACTGTTTGAAGTATTATATTTTTTTCTGATTGAATCAATGTCTAGGAAAATATTTTCCCCCTTCAAATGCACAAGAAGCTGTGGAGGACAGGGGCAGACACCTATTTGTTGCTCTCTCCAGGAAGAAGCTTTTCGAAATAATTTACTATTTATGTAAGTAAAGCATATTAAAAAAAAAAAAAGTATATAAAGATGCTAATGTAACTAACAAGTTAGTACTTGCTTTGGAAAAAAAATGCTTCAGAATTGTTTGTGCATGTTTCAAAATACTTCAGTGTGATGAATYAGTTTTTGCTTTCTGATTTGCTGTTCCTACGTACTAGAAAGGGGATTATTCTCTATTAAAAGACTGTGTGACCTAGTTTGACAGATGACTTGAGAACTTGGCTGAGTAACAATATAAGAATGCTGGTGACAAGAGAAGGAGAAAAACAGTGTATCAGCCTAATGTAATACATGCAGGGAAATTCAGTTTTCACCTCTGTGAATACTGCTTTTTATGCAAAATATACACAGAAGCCTTCATATCCTTTGGGTTTGTACAATTTCCAGTTCCTCGTTCTGTCCCTTTGTCTTACCTATAGTTAACACTTACAGTATGTATGCAATACATACTGTTGTATGTAGAAACATGCTGTTGTTTCTTTCAGATAAATAGTATAATAATAACAATGGAGTTAATCCCTTTTGCCTCCAGAAGACAATTTTCATGTCCTTGAAATATTCAGATCCCAAAATAAGTCTTCCATGATGATTTTAGTAGAACTTAAGATAGTATGCTAGCTTTCCCAGATTGTCTGCAAAGGGGAACTTGAGTATATCTGAATTGAGATATATCTAAATGGAAGGGCAAATGATGTGTTTTGCTGAAAATAATTCATATTCAAGTAATTTTTCACAGAAAAGAGTAGTTGCATTTTTTATTTTTTTTCTACTCTACCTCTTCTTTGCGGTCATCATTTTGTTTCTGGAATTGCCAATAGACTACAGCACGCTGAGATTTTGGACTGCACTCTAGAAAAGTGCTACTATTCTCTATTCCATAGATAATCTTTTCCTCCAGGGTCTGGCCACTTGGGTTATCTGGAAAAAAAAAAAAAAAAAAAAAAAAAAGCAATAGAAAGAATCAAAAACATCAGGAAATCAAAAACTTTTATGGCATTTCTTTTTTATTTTAATACAGAATTTGGGGTCTGGAAGGTGTTTTGCAGTCCAAAAAACCTACAAATTTCGGCTGTCTGTTAGGTTTTTTGAATATTTCTATCAATACTCCTCTACTTGTAAATATTTTTAAGGTAGCACATTTAATTATATGTTTAAATCTTAAAAGTTGTTAACATCTCAATATGTGAAGCTAATGGTCTTCATTTTGAATTTTTTTGCAAACTTCATTATTATTCGTCAAGGAAAACATCTAGGACACAATAAGATTTTTTTAATAGGAAGCTATATGCAGTGAGAAAACTCACAATGCAGTTGCAGAATGTCTATAATGATGCCTCCTGGGCTCTATGATCGTAATACTTTAGAACAAAGTAATAAAACATGGAGCTATTTAAAAGTAGTATAATGTGTTTAGATTATATGGTATAGCCGTTTGCTTCTATATAAGCTGTTAATGACCAGGAATAATGTTTTTGAGGAAACAATCTTCAATTAATCATTTCCTCTCATACTGATATAATTTATGGAAATGTAATGAGGTTAATAAACCAGACATTATGGGAGGGGAAAAAGAAAGTTAAATAAATTACTTCCTTTTGTAACAAGAATGCTTCAAGATATTAATCAACTTGCTGGAAATATCACATAACTACAGGACTTATAAGGCATTTGATTCTTCTCCAATACCACAGAGGCAGTAAGGCATCATATTTCAACTCTTCACCTTAGCTCTTTAAAATGTAGTTATGGATTTAAGTGGCAACAGTACAATAATCCTGGAGAATAGTTGTGGAGGAAGGGACTGGTAAGCTGTTTAACACCATGTTGATCTCATGGGGTTTCCTGCCTCTTTGCCATTATTTGTCATTCTTTCCATTTTCTGCTTTTGATCTTTGGCACTGGAAGTCTTTTAGGAACCTGAATATGTTTTAACAGGAAAATGATGCCTATTAAAATCATCTCAGAGAAGTCTTTTGTCAAGGTTTGTTTGCTTTCACTATGCCTTTATCATATTGCCCATTTTGTTTAGCAAACATAGGCTGTTTGCTGGACTACTGAGCCAAAGGTAAAAATAAAATTGAGTTCCTGTTGACACAGCAATCATGTCTTTTTATAATGACATTCAATCTTGAAAGAAGGTGGGARGAAGGATAGGGATAAAATAGGAACTTTTATCAGTATTAGGCTCATTTCTCAATGAAGCATCAAATGGCCTATAAACACTAAACAAATAGGGAATGGGTTAGCTTGCTTTCCTCTGATAGATTGTGGACCTTTACAGCAAGTAAGTAAGTGGGGTGCTGTATTAACAAGGAAATGAATCAACATACTTGTTTTCCCTCAGAAAACACATCCCTATGAAGAACATCAGTGCGGCTTTGTGCCAGGGTGTATGGAACATTAGAAGAATGAATATGTTAGAAAGCAAAGCAGGGAGGTTGCCACAGGTACCAGTGGAAATGTTTGAGAGGATAGAGCTTGGGCACATTTGTGTCAATAAAACAGAGGAACTGGAAGTATGAAAAGAAGCAAACAGAATACGACTGGGAGTGATAAGATAAAGACTGAGAATAGAAATGATGGATGATGGCCGTGGATCCAGACTGAACAGAGTGAYCTGGGCCACTTTTTCAACTTAGGTGTCCTGATTTAGGAACATAATTCACACTGCTGAGTGTGGCTTTGTACAATCAACATGAAACAGTCCAGAATTGACTTGGGATCCACAATATAAAGTGCATGCAGGGCTGTGATACATTAGACAGACAGTAGGAAATACTATACGAATGACATGACTGAAACTTCCCCGTTTGTTTGCCTGGGACACATATGTTACTGTTTCAGCTATGTGCTTCTGTGAAACTGATATTTAAAGACTTTCCAGATAAAAGATGGAAACAAAGCGATTTTACCCTTGGGTTCGAGGTCTTTTTCAAYCCCTCTCTCCCAGGCTCCATTAATTTTTCATTCATGAATGCAGAATGGCCTGGATRCAACAAGAGCAATCTGATAGTTTGGATGGCCTTTTTGGAAGTAACTATAGAATCAATCTCCTTAGCAGGCTTTGAATCCTCCTCTGGCACATCCCACATAACTGATTCAAATGTAAGTTAGTAATCTGGCACAGGTGTTTTGCAGCACTGAAAACAACACAGTCAAAGTGGATTTATACAGGAGCAGAGCACACAATGCTCAGCTCTTCAGATCCAGGGAGAGAGTATTATAGACGACAAATAGGGACAAATATAGGCATACATTCAAATACAGGTAAATGACAAATATAGATATTTCTTTGACAAAGGTTTAATTGCCCATAAGCAGTAGCATAATTTTAAGAATATAGGGAAGTTTCTGAAAGATATCTTAAGATATCTGTTTACAGAATTCTCAGTACCAAAAAAGTTAGTCATAGTTTTCATAGAAATTATTTTGAAATTGAGTTCCTTGATTCCATTGCATTCTTCTGAATGTTTTGTTGGGTCTGGGCCATAACATTCTGGCTTGTTAGAAATCCCCATGGAAAGCAGCAGAAGTCCCCTTTAAATTTGTTCACAGCTCTAGAAAATATAGTACAGGCAACAGTCATGCAATGAGAGGAGGATTTAAGAGACCCTTCAAATTCCATTTCCATGATGTAAGGTAGCAGAAGGCAGAACCAGAAATGACTATAGTGTTCACATAATGTTGAACACATGAAATACAAGAAAGTAAGTAGAGTGATGGCATAATGACAACATCAGAAAGGAGCTCTGGGAGTAGCGAGAGGCCTCAAGAGAAACTAGGAGGAAGAATGAAAGTCTGAGAATTTCAGGAGAGCAGCTGGGGAATTAGAAAACTACATCATGAAGTTGGTTATGAAATTCAACCCAAAATGTCTGCCTGAGAGCTGTAATTTCCAAAGTTAAAACTCAATCGCTGTATCAGTTTACCGTTCTGATAAACATCCTTTAAATACGTAATCTCTGACATAACTGAAGAAGTATGAGTGGCTAAATAGTTACACCAAGACAGCTTCACAGATTCTCTCTCTTTATTCTATCTCTCTATATGACAAATTCAGAGCACTTCTGTGAGATCTCACTGAAAAAAAGTTGGCTATTCATTTACAAATTGTTCCAAAAAATAACTTGAGACTTTTTTGATAGCGATAGCCTGAGAGGCTTAAAGAAAATTCACTATTACCTGACAAGGGTGATCATGATTTTACATTTTAGGTCAAATATTTATAGAGTTAAGAATCTTATTTCCCTCTAATACTGTTCTGCAGTGAATTTCTATTATTTCCCATATATTTGAATAAAAGGTCAAGTGAAAGCGCTATCTACACCTTATTAAAAGGTGCTGATTCAGTCTGAGGCCTTGGCATTTTTCTGCAATGTCAAATATACAATAAGAGATCCTTCTTAGCTCATATTTCTGTTGATTCACATAAAGAATCAACTGCCAGTTATTACAAAGAAATGCATAGAAAGTAGTAAAAAAAGATTGCTGGAGCACATTCTTGCCTATAAACACTCTCAATTTGGCACCTGATGTCCAGGAAATTGCTAGTGATAACCAAGGGAAAAGTTCAGCATGAGTTTGCATGGCAAGGTTATATAGCCATCTGTATAACGCACAATACACATTTCCCTATGCAAATGCCAAGTGAATGTAGGTAACTTTACAAATTTAGAAGTCTGAATTAAGAGGAGAGGAAGATTTTCCTAAAACAAGCTAAAGCATCATTGTGTAAAACACCCTGTCAGTGCACCCTTCAGGTCTAAAGCCTAGGACTATGTTCCTTTGTTATTTTTTGTAAGTTACTGTTTCTTCTAATCACTCTGTCTTCATTTTGCCATTAAATACCATTTTTCAAGCACTTTCCTGTCTCCTACTTTTCCAATTTATGCCTTTAACCAATTTGCAAAAGTAAAGAAGTCTGTACTAAAGCTCCTTATGATAAAGCATACCATAAAACAGCTTTTTCATTATCTTGTGTTCTCATGATTGTCATGTAGCAATAAACCAAAAAATACAAGTAAGTAATAAAWGAAAGAACTGCACTGGGTTACTCCCTCTCTTTTGGAGAGAAGGAGTTTCTTGACAGTGAGGGTGACAGAGCACTGGAATAGGTTGCCAACAGAGGTTGTGGAATCTTCTTCTCTGGAGGTCTTCAAAATCCACTTGGACGCAGGCCTGTGCAAGCTGCTCTGGATGACCTTGCTGGAGCAGGGAGTGGACTGGATGATCTCTAAAGGTCCCTTCCAACTTCAACCATCCTGTGAGTCTGTGTGATTCTGTGGTTCTGTAATTCTTAGTTTTCTTGTCTATGAAGATAACCAACAAATCTATTGCCTTATAAAATACAACTAGCAAATGGAAGGCCTTAAAATGGAGATAGTAAGGTGTGGGTAACGTCAGAGATAGTAAGATGTGGGTAAAATTAGATGTGGGTTTAAATTAGTTTACAATATGAAGGTTGTGTATTACTGATTCATGAAATGTGTCAACTGCACATTGATCATAGACCATTTATTCACATTTGCAAATCTTTCTCCTCCCCTAGTAGCTTGTCCTGAGTATGAGGATCATGAAGTAGAAAAAGAAAGATCAGTAAAGCTGGCTGTGGGCTTTGGGGTTTAAAAGGGAAGGTAGAGATAACACAGTAGCAGTCAAATATATAGTGGTGAACAGCATGAGTTTGGACTATTTGTCATTGTTGCTATTACAAAGAATGAGAGACATGAGAGTTTTGAGACACCTCAATTTTCAGCCACCTCTACTTTATCGACACCAGAAATCTGCCCAGTGGTTTAACTGTTATCRTAGATGCAACTTAAACATGGGTAATCAGCTTTTTTTTCCAGCAGAGGGAAGTATTGCCTAAGTGTTCTGTTCACTTAGGGCAAAATAGAAAAAAAAAAAATCATTCTGTGAATGAGGATCTGAAGAGATTGGCAACAAATTGGTAACTGTGAGAAGTCAGATTTATCAGCCAAGTTAAGGTAGAATTCTGGTCAATACACTATGTGGAAATAATACAGTCAACAGAGCCAAAGAGATGGCAAGGAAAATCCATTTTGAAAACACATGGGACAGGTATATTCCTATCAACACCCTGATCTTAAGAAGCTGCTAGCATGGCATCTTCACCAAATGCCATTCCATATTTAACCAAGGTGGTTAATTATGTGGTAGGTTAACTGAAGGTAAGTTTAAAAGGTAGGTAAGTTTAAAAGCTTAAAATTGTTAACTTGAGGGAAAGCATAAATAAGATTCTTTCAGGCTACTGAAAGCAATCACAACTGGAGTATTGTTGCTCTTTGCTGCATGTTAAAAAAATACCTACCAAATGATTCGTTTCCTGCTCTACTCACGCACCGAGTGTAAGTTACGTTCAAATTGTTTTTACTTTGCTAATCCCCACAACTTACCATGATGCTGCAGGTCTGAGCAGTGAGTAAGAGGGTCTCCATTTCGGATGTCTTGTCGCCTAGTACGCCTACAAATATTGTATTTGGAAACTGTTAGAGACATTCTCCATGGTCTGTATGTACATTTGACACAACTCAGGAGCAACAAAAGGAACATATTTAAAACTATATGGGTTATATGAATGCACCTAAATAGCACTGTGAAGGAAATTATTTTGTTACCATATTCTGAGCATTATCATACACCATAGTATCAGCCTTTACAGTTTCAAGTAAATACACGTCTCTATTGCACCGAGCTTATGATCTTTATTTTAACTTTGCTGGTAACGTTGCTCAGAGTTGACTTCATTCACAGTAGGGTCAACTAAGGCATTGAAGTGTAACAGTGCATACAGTTTAACATGCACCAAAAAATATACAGAAGCTGAAACTTTTCTGCAAGCACAGAATACTTAAAACTTAATASTATTTTTACTTAAAATGAAAGTTAWAGATAGATGGCTCTAAAAGGATACCAGAATTGTATTTTCTGCATAATCTAAATTAAATAAATCATTTCAGCCCCTACCAACTTCAGTAAAATATTGCTGAAAATAATAAAATTGTTTGCAAATGGCCATTAGGATAAACTGAGTAAAACACTTGAAGATTTTCAAATGTTATTTATTCCWTCTTTTGTAGCTTAATTCTCAGTTCTAGCTTTTATTGCATAACCACTTAACATAGTTATTATTTCCCCGGTTTCATCTCCTCTTTTTTTTTTTTTTCTGGAGAATGTATTGATCTGCGCTAAAATGTTGTATTTCACAAAGAAAAAGAGAAAAAAAAAAAGAAAAAAAAAAACCCTTTTATTTTGCATTTACGGTTCTCTTTTTGTCTTCTTTTTTTATTCAAATAGCTGTGACACAAAATTCAACCAAGCCACAGAAAACAGTTTCATATTAGAAAGAAAAAAAGGAGAAAAGAAAGGAACAAGGCAAACAAAGCTGTGTTTCAAGTGTGAGCACTTTACTTTAGGAATCAGAGAAAGCCTGAGGGCTTGCAAAACTAGAGGAGAACAAAGAGGATTAGGCTGCTGCACAATGCTGTGATTTCAGCTTACTGCATCCAGCAACGGATATGCAGAAGTCAAGTAGCCTTGTAAAAAGCATTGATGGTTCCTCCCTGGTGACAAGAGCCCACATTTTTTAAGAAGTTATTGTTCTGCAGCACAGAGAGAAGCTCTCTTCTGTTCACCAGCCCTATTTGCAAGCTCTGAGTAAGAGCCCAGCATCAGCACATCCTACAAGTTCTCACAGAGGCACCAGCCCACTCCTGTGCATGGAAACGTTTTAATCCACTAGGTTTTTTGTTTTGGTTTTTTTTTTTTCCAATGAAAACTACTGAAGTGTTATCTCTGAAGTTATTTATGTGAAGTGTCATAACACTTTTACCAAAAATTAACAAATATATATATAATGGAGAATGTGAATTTTGATATCTTTCTGAATAAAAACTTCANAAAAAAAAAAAAAAAAGCCAGATATAACAGGCCTTAAAATGCCATAGTAAGAAGCAGTGGTTTGTTAATTGATATTTGATTCAAAAAAACGCACTCATCCTGATATCAGAGGTCATGTTTACCTTCCTCATTTTCAATAAATATAAATACATCCAAGACATAAAGAAGCATAAATACAGTATTTTATTACTCCCTTCCTAAATTTCAAAGGGCAGCATATTTACAGGATACTATTTGTAGAAAAGAAGCCTGTGGAAAGACTCATGTTACTGTCAGTGGACCTGGGAGGAGATGTTTAGTTAGAATCTCAGGAAAATGTCGCACATATCAGCCTTGTATCAACATGATGATCTATGAAATATGAGCCAGAACACATCTGCATGGGGCAGAGTTAAGTGGTCACACTACAGGCACTCTCAACTGTCATTTAGACTTCTTAAATATACAAAGAGAGAAAAGTAAAATAAAATCATGGCTCATAAAAGCTCCCTTAAGAAAAAAAAAGCGAGGTGGAGGAAGCACTATTAGCACAAGTGCCTCAGGACTCGACTTTCCCAATATTTCTGGAGCCTAAAATTACAGGGATGCTATATTAGGAAAATGTTGACACTGAAGCTGTTTCCAGCAGCGCTGGTTTTGTCACAGATGGATTCAAGGCTGGCTGYAGAAAAGGGGGGAGAGCAGGTAGCAGACGAATAGCAGATCCCTCCTCTGGTACCAGAGCCTTTCCTTGCTGCTGCTGCCAAGGTAGAAGTGGAGTGGGGTAGGGCCATGGTTTTTTTTGCATGCAGTGTTGGGATCCCAGTCTTCCTTCATGCTGGACTGAAGAAGCGGAAATTCTGCACCCCTAAGTTTTTCCTGTAGCTCTGCTGCCTGTTAGCCCAAGTCTTTATCCTGTCCCTCCATCCCAGCAGGAAGGCTGCTTTGCCCTTGTGATGGCAACAGACAGCTGGGTCTGCTGCTGAGGAAAAGATAGTGAAAAGAGGGAGAAGAAAAACACAGAGCCCCCTGCTCCTTCCATCCAAATAAGCAGGTAAATAACAGGATGCTGTATCCATAGGTCCATTTACTAGCAGCATGGGAATAGGAATGGTGCTAGTAAATGKGGAGAAAAGAGGAAGTTCAGAGTAGCTGGATAATAGCAGAGTGATTCAGTGATTCCTGTCCTCCTTCCTTGACTCAGAGATGGCACAACCATGCTGACTTCCAGCCTGGAGCTGAGCAGCCTCTCAGGCCCTTCTTGGAAAGCTGAATGTTCCCTCTCCTCTCTTTCCTCGTCCTCTTCCAGAGAAACTGCTCTGCCCCTACCACAAATTTGAATTCAGTCCATGCAGGTGACAAAACCTGGCCAGTGCTTTTTCTGGGATGGGTTCGATTTCTCCATTATCTTCCTTAAGTAAAATGGAGAAACTTTTTGTTTCTCCAAAACCAAACAAAAAATTTTTGAAACACCTTTTTTAAAAACATTGCAATGCAAATGCTGACACTTTAATCCTCTTCATATGAAAAATTTATGATATAAATACTGCTTTTCATCCTCCACCACATTTTCTTTCCCCCCAAAACCAATCCAGATCTGGAATTTGGAGTTCTGACATTCCCAACTAAGCATGTGTTAACATTAATTTTAAGATAAATTAATGTTAAGATAAAGATAAAAAGTCCAAGAATTTATATGCATAAAGGAGCCTCTGTCATTAACATTAATTTTAAGATAATGACAGAGGCTCCTTTATGCATATAAATTCTTGGACTTTTTAGTTCTGCATAGGTGTAAGATGTTTGACATATTTGCTTTGACACGATTTCTCTCTGAACACTTTTTTCATCACTGACTTGACCAATATACCAAGGGAAAGACTCTCAGCACGATGCCAGTAGTATTCTTATTTGCAAGCATTTACTAATTCAGCTATTCCTCATTTCTACTTCAGTAAYGAACAGCAGGTTGTAACTTTTAAGAGAAAGAATTCCTGAGACTAAAAAAGGCAAGGAAATACGGTTTTAAATCTTCAGACCAGGCAACTTGGACTTGTAAATTCTTATAAAAATATATTTTTTACTTGTAGAATCTGTTTTCTCTTAACCTTTACATTGAAAAGCCTTTAACATCAGAGCAGAGTGAATGTAAAATMGTTATCGTTCTGATCTGGTAGCATTTACACACACATCAACACATATAAATGATACTTTTAAATAATAACCACCAAACTATATATCACTGAATAACACCTTTTCCTTCATGTTCAAACACTTTATAGATATTTCTGTATGCTACAACTCATGAAGATGTAAAACAAGTAAGTTGGAGGGAGAGTACATTTTAAACTATATCTTTAATACAATCTAGCTATCTCACATTAAAAAAAAAAAAGATTCTTTTTCTTGTTCCAACTTACTAGTAAATAAAAAGTTATGACTGCATTTCAGAGACAACTGTTTTCSAAATGCCTTTTCTACAGCAGCCTTTCAAACCAACCCCAGAAGTAAAGCTCACTTTAAATCAACCAAGACTTCACCTAGCTGGTATCTCCCACAGCTATGTTTTCTTTGGAATAGGAAGGGCTCTTGTTAACTGTCCCATGCAAAATCTCCAAGGCCCTCTGGTCATATTAAGATCCTCAGTTAAAACAAATAGCGAGGCAGGCAAACATCCGAAACTGTCCCTACCTCTTAGCAGTGGGGAAGTAACGTGAGCAAGAGGAGCCGTCCCAGGCACAGTAAGGGTCTCTAGCCAGGCAACACTCAGCACATGCCTTCCCATACACATCACAGCGGTGTAAAGGCAGCTGTGAAACGCCGGTGGCTGAGCCAATGTAGAGCTGTTGCTGTTATAAAAGTAAAATAAATAAATAAATACAAACATAAAATAGCACTTTGCAAATTTCCAYGTTTTCACTAGGAAGGCCTAAAATATAAAACGATATATTAGGGCTGTTACAAACACGCCAAGTGATCCTGATTCTGATCTGCATGCAAGATAAAAAAGATCATATAGGAAAATCTTTAATATTTGCATGAAAATCTTTGTGGTGTCTTTAAATATTTAAATATGCTTCCATTTTTTCTCTTGTATTTATATCTCTGCATTGGCATAGAGCTACCTTCAGGGACAAAATCTAATGGAAAATATGCTTTTGATTTGAAGGAAAAACAAAAGTGACTTTAATGTAAAATCTCTATTTTTTTTTTTATTTCAGACAGAAATTAGTTATTTCAGACAGATGCAGAAATGTTTTAGCTTAAAAGTGCTGACATAGTTCTTTGTGTATCTGGTATTTTTGATGCYTTGTATTATTTTCTACAGCTCACTTCCCTAACTGAAGCTGGTTTATTTTATTTTGGAGAAAAACTCTGTGTTTAGTGGAAGATGCAATTCGAAGGAGAGGACCTTATGAAGGAAAATAAAGTTTAAAAATCAAATTCATGTGGCCCATCTGGTTAGTGAGTCCCGAAAGGGGCATGAGGAAACTGAACTACCTACCCATGTGAAAGTCATAACAGAGCTATTTCAGCTCAGCATTAATTCACAAAGAAAATAAGTCTAAGTGTTGTAGTTAAACACACTTCCCTCTGAGACATAAAACTAGGAGAACACAAAATAAATACATAAACATAAATACAAATGGCATAACCTAACAGTTTGAAAGTACTGAAACTTTTCTATCAAAAGCTTGAACTTTGTTACCCAACACCTTTTCTTTTTAAGGTCYATCTGTAAGCAGCCCCACCAAGAAAATGCAAAGCTGTATTTATTTCAGAAAATACAGGGCCAAGGTAAAAAACAGAATTTGAAAAATATTTATCAAAATGTAATGTCTTGCAGGCTCCACTCACAGGCAATTCAAGGATGCAAGTTGGCTGAAGTCACCAGTCTCCTGGAAATGACGAACCAGGATACCAGGAGATAGCAAAGTCTAAAGCTCTTGTGAAAGGTGCCGCATTCATTTTGTTCAAAGACRGCAACTTGGCAGTTTATATAGGCATATTAATTACAACAGAAACATCCTTGGCCTTTATATAAACATCAGGCGTTCCTCAAGAAAAAAACATGAGACAAAAAAGGACAAAAGAAAATTCACCATAAATTGAAAACTAAGCCCTATCTAAGCAGCTGCTTCCGTCTATTATAGTGCCTCAGTCAGACTGTAAAACCACATTCTCTTGGCAAAATTCTCTGACCACACAGAGCTCTGTGCAAAGCCTTAATTGCAATAATAGTCCCCAGCTAGTGTTGTATCCTTGCGAACCAAAGGCAGGCGTCAAGCATGATAGGCCGGTTCTCCCTCACTTAAGACACTTAATGACACCCCAGCTTAGGGCTATATTCTGCAGTAAAAGAGCAGTACTTCAAATCTTAGGTGACCTAACCATTTCTCAAGAGATGCCTTTTCTCCTTACTGATTATAGAGGAAGCATAGGTCAAATTAGAGCTTCAGTTAAGTATCTTAAGAGTCCAGATGGTATTGATCTGGGTCCTAGGTAATTGGTGCATTGATATATATATATATACACATATATACACATATATATATATATACACATATATATACATATATATGTGTGTGTCATTGTGTGTGTAGCAATGTGTGCTGCAGTTAATATAAAAATCTATGCAGAGAATGCATATGGGAAAATAAAGAGGTATAGTGTAATGGTTTCCTATGGCTCCACTGTAACCAATTTCATTTCGTCAAAAATAAAATCCTCCCTGATTTCTAATAAATGTCTTTAGAAATAAGGAATGATCAGAATCTGAAGGGGGGGCGGGGGGGAAAGTGAGGCCAGAACAGGGTTACTTAAAGACTCTATTCCTTGTAGATAAGTTCATAAAGTTCAGTCCACGAAGTGCAGCATGTGTTTCAGGTGCTACCCAGCCTAGAGGCTGCCCTGTGTGCTGCTCTTCTGATCATGCTTTTTGACTCCAGCTGGTGATCATTATTTTGGACACTAATAATACATAAATCCAGTCAGAATGAAACTCAAAAAGTAGTAATGGAATGATTTGCATCAATGGTTTGACCTTACTTTGGCACGGTCAAACTGCCTTTGGGGCAAAGGCTCTCCCAAGAGACTTTTAATTTARTAAATCAGCTGATTATCAGATCAAACCAAAGCCAAAAAAAAAAAAAAAAAGGAAGTTTTCTAAAGATTTTTGCTTAAGTATCCGAACTATAGAAAACAGAAAGAGCATAATGTTTACAGCAATCTAGTAGTCTGTTAGCCACACAACTTTCCCTGAAAAAGCAATATTTCTTAGAGAAAGCAGTAACAGAGCTTCTGTTTTGCAATTTAAACAAACGAAAACAGAAATAAAAAAAAAAAGAAATGCTTAAAAAGAATCACTTAGGCAGAATTTTCAAAGGAACTTTAGYGAATACTTCCTTAAATTCCTTTTTATTGATGATTACAGTGCATGTGTTGAAAGATAACTGTCTGAKGCTGAATAGTTGGTTCAGAGGATTCTTTCTGTGATGGACATTTTGTGCTGCCCCTTCATATATGCTCACTATGAATGGAAATCATGAGCTCTGAACAAGATAMAGTATTTTGTATGTCTATAAAACTAGTGTGTAAGGTCTTTCTGTGCTTTGATTTCAATTGGAGTTCTTGAAGTGGAGAACCAAAAGTTCTTTGCAGCAGGATCACAAACCTAGTACTGCGGAAAAGGACAAAAACAAAACAAACAAACAAAAATAAAGAGGGGRAAAAAAAGGGGAAAAAAAGTATTTTCCACAAAAGAAGCTTGGTTTTAAAAGCCAGGCATGAATTTAGGGCCATGTTTTTAAGTCAGGAGGTAAATTCTGGAGCATCATGTGAGAAGTTCTAGGAGCAGTGGAGGGTCCCCCTGAACTGTGACTTTTAAGTGGCTGCTTGACTATTACAGAGGCTTGAAGGTGCTGCCCTGGAAAGTCTGTTATCATGCTACCTAAGCTTAAGCATCATTCAGGTAATAACATTACATGGGCCTAGAGCTCTAAACATCACTGGGAGGAATACACAGCTTCAGCAAGAAAATGTAATTCCTATGAGTTAAAGATATCAGAATTCAAAATGAATGTATCAATACTTAGTTTTAATTTGCACATAAAGGCTAATTTCCTTGCTCAAAGTGACTCTTGCTTAAGAGTCAAATAGTTAGGGTTATATTTATACAGAGGGACATGAAAAGGCTGTGAGTTTGATATCACTTAAAACCTTAAAAATCTAAATCTTGCTTCTGAAGAGTTGAATTTAAAGATTTGGGTCTTTAGAAAAAAGCACTATTTGAAGTGTATCAGATGTCTGATGGCCAAAGAGGTAGCTTGAAACAACCAGCAGAGCAGAACTTTCCAAAAATGAGACTCCCGTTCTTGTCCCAAACAAATGCTTTTATATTTGAATGTAATATTTGCTAGTGAAAGAATAAAATAGAGAGATTTCTTTGGAATTATTACATAGAACATGCTGATTTTATTGTTTACATTCTATGTTCCTGMTTTGAACAACACATAGAATTGTGCTGTTTATATGAAACCCCCCGCTTATCGGAACGAGTAAAGTGTTAGAATTGCAAAACAACAGTATTTTTAACCATAAATATAAAATGGAAACATGTTGCCAAAGACTTATTTGATACAAAGACAGTGCCAAAAGCTTGTCACACTGTATCATGATTCTGTCTTTTTTTGCCTGAGGCTGGTTGATTTTTCATGAGCTTAATTTTGCTTGAATAACTAGCATTCTATGCTCTTTTTAGCTTTAGACAATTTTAATATTGTAAATTTGTTTTCAAAAGGCACAGGGAAAACTGTAATCTCTCTTGAATAAATAAAGATGCTTTGAAGAAGAGGTTGTACTAAAATGCATGGCCCATTATCAAATGTGATCAGCTGCTTTAAAGGAATGTACTTACAAAAATAATCCAAAGCAGAGCATTTTGGTATGATGTGAACATATATACAACTTGACAGGTTTGTTTTTAAATAACTCATTGTTCAATACCACATTTTTTTTTTCTCCTGTCATTTTTGCTTTTTTTYAGGTGGTAAACTGTGTCAGAAAAGTCACTCCAAACAGAATGTTTTCTGTCAAATACATGAATGCTTTCAGACAACTTTTCTGTATACAATGAATTTCTAGTTAAATATGAAACATTTCAAACAACATACAGGGCTTTGTGCATTACAAAACAAATTTAACTCTTACTCAATAATGAATAGAACGAGGTAGATGAATTAACTAAGCCTTGTTTAGAACACACATCTCCTAGTGCACCCAGTCCTAAAGAACATCTTTGTTTGTGACAGTGACATTACTGGACTAACATGACGAGTGTGAACAAGGTGCTAGTACTTCCAGAATTAGGCTCCAAGTCAGACAAAACTGAGAAAACTGGAAGCACCTAGTTCAAAAAGACTAGTTCCCCCAAGTTTCCAAGTCATCTTGTTCCTTTATATTTCATTGATATATTCTTCTTTCATCAATAATTCAAATTCCTTTTTTGCAACCACCCAAATATCTGCAAAATCCTGTGGTATGCATTTCCACAGGATGTGTAGTATAGAAAGGTATATTTCCTTCAACTTCTTCTATGACACTCTCTGAATATCCTTTGATGGAAAGGCAGTCATGCCACTTAGGATTTTACAGAGCTCTCTTGTGTCTTTCTTAGTGTCTCTGCCCATGCATGCACTGAGATACTTTGCAGCCTGACAAGTCTTGGTTTGTGTCTGCTCATAGACCAATTCAGCATTTTCTCCATCCTAAAGACTACTCTGTACTTACTCAAGCTAACTAAATCATCTCAAGGTGATAGGGCTACAGCTGGGTTGGATAATAATCTTCTGGTGATCCCTTCCTCCAGTATTATTTCTAAGCCTGAATACAGCCACAGCCCTGTCACTTGAACTGAATTTCTTTTTACACACTGGAGTTAGTAGAATGTACTACTAATCCTGAAGGGAATAGAACTAGTCCTGCTAGAATGAGGGACCAAATTTGGACATTTTTTAAAAAATAGTTTCTTTGTCAAAGAAACATTAAGTAATATGTATTTTTTTTCTTGAGAGCCTCCAGACGGCTGTTTGGTTTGTGTTTAGTTTCCACCTTACCACTAAAACACAAACTAGACTTTTCCTTTTCCCTCTGCATGTCACATTTTCCTGAGAAACTACTGATGTTTATATAAAGGGATGGGATGCTGCTGCTGTAATGAATATGTCTTTACCAACTGCCAAGTTACTGTCTCTTAAAAACAGAGGCCAATAAATATTTAAAGGTGATTTAAAGTTTGTGCATACAGTACCTGTTTTGTGGAAATCTTCATTGCTGAAATAACAGTGGGTTCCTAAGGGAAAAAAAAAAAGTATAGAAAATGAGTTAAAATAAAGAATTAAAATATAAAATAAGCTCCCAAAACGGAAGTTTTACTGGGATGCTATTTGCTTAGTTAGAAGCCTGAAATTAAGTTAGATATTCTTTAGCAATGGTAGTTCTTTTTGTCTTTTACAATGAAATATTTTACAAGAGAATTAGAATAGCTGTGTATGTCTGGCTGCACCATTAAGTGCTATACTGACTGTTGAGATTTCCATAGAGTGTGAAATTTCACAATAAATACCCTTTGTCACTRGTTTCATTTTCTGAAATTAATGTTAGAACTAAGAGGATAATAATAGCTATACCAAAATACAAAAATACGGTATATTAAGAGTGATAGAACAAAAACAACATACTTCAACCACATTTAAGGAAAAAAAAATCCTGCTGATTCTTATTCATAAAAACAAACTTTAAGCACAAGTCTAATTTTGTTGACTTAACTGCACTATTCTCATACAAAAAGTTACTCATATTTGAAGAAAGGGGAATTAAAGTGGGCAACATTTTTTTAACATTCGAGAATATCTACTATTTAATCAACCAAGTGGGTCAGTAGAAGAGTTAGTGTTCTCTTAGGTAAATTTCTAATCTTAATTATACTTATCTATTACAAGCAGATGCCAAACCAATACCTATTTTCTTAGATAAAAGACTGTAGTCCGTATTTGACATAACTGCATTGAGTCTCGATTAGCATTTACATTTTTTAGCATATTTACATTTATTTTCAGTTCCAACTGCTTGAATGGAAAGTAAAAATTGCATCATTTGATTACAAAATTCTTCAAGTCAAATCTTCCACTATACTGAATCTAAAAGTCTACTATTGATCCCATACCTCATGTTTTGGGTTATGTACGTGAATACAGTTCTTGCTGAGCAGCTTTTAACTTCCTGATCATTACGGAATCTGATATGGGTCAGTAACTGTTAAGGATTTGGACTTGCCTCTACAAATGAGTTAATAGACCTTGTATTAGAMAGCATCAATTAAGTGTAACATTTGAATGGAAGTTGAACTCATTCGTTTGTTTGCTCAGCTGTTCAGAGAAATTTTGCATAAATGAGGTTAAATGTTATCAATGTAACAGATATGAAGGAATTTTAGTTTAGCTGAATTATAAATGAAAACCTTTATATTCAGTACAAAGCAGTTAAGGCTTCAAAACGTATTCCTTAACATGCAGATAGACTCTTTTGTAACTAGAGAAAACTTACATTTGGTTAAGGTACATTTAAAATGTATTGCAAATTCCTACAGAAAGATCCATATCTTAAGCACACAAATTCTGTTCATTCTACTGATGTACATTAATGGCCTCTTTAAGGCTTAAATGAATGCCAAAGAAGATAAATGAGCTTTTGAATATATCAGAATACCATAATCTTTTTATGTAATAAATAAAATACCCAGGTGAAATGAAATACCAAATCTGAATTTGTCATTAAGCCTACTTCTTTTATAAAGCCTTTCTGGGGAAAACAAAAACAAAACAAGAGAAAAAAAAGCCACAAAACAAAACAAAACCCCATCCTTTTCTTTTTTCTTTTCTTTTTTCTTTTCTTTTTTCTTTTCTTTTTTCTTTTCTTTTTTCTTTTCTTTTCTCTTTTTTCTTTTCTTTTCTCTCTTTTCCCTTCCTTCCTTCCTTCCTTCCTTCCTTCCTTCCTTCCTTCCTTCCTTCCTTCCTTCCTTCCTTCCTTCCTTCCTTCCTTCCTTCCTTCCTTNCCTTCCTTCCTTCCTTCCTTCCTTCCTTCCTTCCTTCCTTCCTTCCTTCCTTCCTTCCTTCCTTGTTTCTCTCTTTCTCTTTTAGATTTCTCTGATCTCTTTTAGCTTGGCACTTCTACTTTATTTAGTAGATTGCCAAATTACCTTGCATTAATCTAATGATTTTTGTGTGTGTAAGAAAGACAAAGAACCTGAGAGACACAAGTTACTTTTCTCATTTTCTCCTTATAGCATCTACTTTATTTTTCTGTTAAAGCAACAATAACAACAAAATGATTTTTCTGCCCTCAGAAAAATCTTTGATCATTGAAACAGGGACTCTTGTTTCTGGGTGCAAAACAGCAGCCTCTGTAAGAAACCTCTGCAAGACTGGTACTGCTAGAAGTAAGATCGCCCACTAGAAAAAAAAATACCAAAAATAATAACACTAATAAAAACAAAATTAAAATCTGAAATTGTTAGGCATAAGAAAACTTTGCAGAACTGTGTTTTCCCTTGGGCAGCATCCTAGAGTGAGGTTATGCAGATAATCCGAATAGTGTCAAGACTTTATGTGCATCTAAAATCTTTGTATTGCATGTCTGTGCAGGAGAAAATAGACATTATTTGCACATATCTATATTTAACTGTAGCCTGCAATGCCTACAGGATCCACAGGTACTAATTTATTTTTTAAACCGCGAAGCAAGACCCCAGAATGCTATTTCTTTATCATTAACCTCCAGCTAGCACAGAAAGTTTCAAGGTTTATTTTGACTAGTGTCTGGGTCTCTAAGTGACAAGCTAATTAGCGGGGCATGCCAGGCTGGGCCTTGGCTAGACTACAAGAAGTTCCCTTTGCAGCTGTCCAYAGTGAAATCCACAACCTGACACTTAAAATTCAGCTGCACTTACCCGAAAGACTGTCATTTCTTCCAGCAAGACTTCCTCTAAGTCATGCCAAGTCTCCTTAGGAATTGAAACCACTTTAAGAACTGTTCCAATATCTTGAAAAGAAAAACACATACATATTTTTTTTCAGGTTTCTAATAAGCAAACCTCTATTTCAGAGCAGCCAGAGATTTTGGTATCTTGTAATACCAATTATTTCAACATGTAAAGATTATGAAACTCTATATCACTCAGCACAAGTTATTCAAAAATACCAACTGATATTTAAAATAATCTACAAGAACACTGATTTTCACCAGGACATTTCACTGAAATCTTTTAATTATCAAAACTCAACAAAAGTAATCAGAAGAGAAATATTACTTCAGCAGTTAGAGAAAGAACAGGACTCAGATGTAATTTAAGTGACAATATAAAATGTCAGATGTTTCACTGCTAAATTGAAGAAGGAAGGGCACCCATTTACCCAGCCACTTTTATTATCTGTTTTGAGGTATGAGACTTCTCACTCTCATGTTAAAATGCATGTGAAGATGTTAGAAGGCTCAGGATGGATACAGAACAACCTGGTGAAGTTTGTTAGATAGATGAAGCTGTTGCATCTCCTAAGTGCATGGGATCTTCTCTGGGTCAAACAAAGTATCTAAGATATATACGTCACTTAAGGCCTCTTTCTATATTTCTATATGATAGATTATACTCTCCACTGAGAGGTAAGAAGCAGTACAACTTGTATCTTCTGCTTAGAAATAGGTGTGTGACAGCATTTTAGCACTTTATCCTTTCACATTAATGGGAATTCTACAATTGGTTATTAACATTAACAAGCCTAATGAGCAAAATTTTAGACTTTATTTTCTGTATATGTTWTGTGGCTTAAGACCATCTCTGTTTTAAAATTTCTGTGCCTGTGATATATTTATTTATTTTTATGAACTTTTTTTTTCTTGGGAGGTGGGAGCAGGATGAAGGGATGTGGAGAGAAAAAGAAAATAGATCATTTCTACATTGCTACACCTCACTGCAGACTCCCTGAAATAGGAGCAACTCTGGGTGTGATTTTTCTTTCTAATCAGGTACATGTAATGCCATGAAAACATATCATATATGTAACAGCCACATCCTTGAGGCAATTTCATAATGTGCACTTAGTATCGCTAATAGTTTCGGAAAATATAAAGTATAGAATAAAATGAATCAAAGTATCAAAGTAAAGGCACTAAATATAAAGATTTTATTCTCACAACAAACGTTTAAAATGTTATTCTCAAAACAAGCACTTAACTATAATTTCCCATTTGAAAATATTGAAACAATTTTAACACCGAAAATATTTAATTTAAGAAGTAGTCAGAACACCACAGAAAATCCACATTTCTACAACAGAATAATTGAGTACAAGAGAAAATGTTATTACTATTCATTATAATAAATAGATGCATTTCCTTATTTATCTTGAGCCTAATTTGATGACTGTGGTTTTGAGGAAAATACGCTATAAGAGTCATAAAAAATACCTTGATCTAATAAAAATAATAATTTAGCAATGTGTCATGCCTATATTTTGTATTGGACTGTGTCTGTCACCAATTCCAGGCCACCAATGCTGCATTCCATTATAGGTGGAGTTTCAATAAAACAAAGCAAGTTGTTGCAGAATCTGCGTGGGACAGTGGGTAGAAATTAACTCCCCACATTGCACTGTCTCCAAAAAAACCCTCATTATTTTAAAAGGATCATGCAACTACTCTAGTTGCTTGGTGCTAAAGAAAGCTGCTGAGGTCAAAGGTACAATTTGTTAATCACTGCGGCAACTCTGATGAGGCCACAGGTACCAAAGTGGAGCTTTATCAGAATTCTAGGTCAAGTTTTACAGAGTAGTATTTCAAACAGTTTTACACAAATGGCACCATACTTGTCCTGTAGGATCAATAGGCTCTGGTAAGTAAGGTAAGATTACTCTTATTAATTTGCTTTACTGACAGATGTACCTTGACTGTGCCAAATGAGCCCAAACAGCAGACACTGAGGATATGCACTAAGCGGTTATTTTAGATCCTGTTCTTTCTCATGTATTTTCCAGCATTCCTGCATGATTTCATTTTTACTGAGAAGTACCTAAGCACTCTAGTACAACCACAGTGGGAAAGAAACTGCTTGGTGAGAGATTTCACCCACAGGAAAGGAAATAGGRCCACACTAGATGAGCTATTAATTATGTTGTGCTCAATTATCATCATCATAAAAAAAAAAAAGTGTTTCCTTAACATATTGAAGCTCAGCAGCATGTGGGAATAAAGTAGGTCGCTGCAATAGTGATGGGAAAAAAAAAAGTGTATCATCTAATCTGATAGGACGGACCTGCACTGAAAAATCCAGTCATATCCCAAAGGGCTGAATTCTGGCTTTGCCACAAGTCCTGGTCAACAAGTAGGAAACTAGACTGTGACGAGAGCCCCTTATCTCCCCAGATTGTGSTCTGTTTTGGGAAGATACGATTTGCCCAGACTGTATATCTGTTTCCTTCCCTGCTACTTCTAATTTGAGCAGGGGTGGTGTGTTGCACGGGTGGGATAGGACCTTTATTCTGCCTTCTTTCTCATTGCAACAGTATGCAAGATGCCCTTCCTTATTCTGAAAATTGCTATGAGGGAAATGAGCTTGGAAGACTGGGGTGCAGTTTTGGTCTCCCTGTGCCCAGGTCTGGGTGCCTCAGCTGAGACGCCAGTCCCATGAGGAGGTAACCTCCTGCTGGAAAAAGAGCAGTTTCTATTTGCAAGTGAAATGTTGTGAGAAAAAACAACACTCTACACTTATGAAGCTGTGCTTTTTGGTGCTGAAATCTTTTTTTGGCAAGTGCAAGTAATAACATTTCAATACTTTCCTTACAGTTCTTGGGCGCAAATAGCAGCAGTCTTGGATGGGATCCAGAGCACTTACCATGTGCCTGAATTGTAGATGTTTAGTGCATTAAATGAGTGCTCAAGTGCTCAACACAAAGGTAAGAGCTAGATACCACTGAAGCTTCTTCAGAGGGACACTTTTCCTGAGTGATTAGATAAGAACCACTGTGCATAATGATAACTATCAAAACGTTACAGATTCGTTTTAAGCAAGTCATCCRTACTCCCTGAAGACAGACAGGAACTTCTGTGAAAATATTCATCTTTAATTGAGGTCTCTAGGAAGATCAAATGTATCTCTCTCTGGAAGGACTTACTTGTCCTACTTGAAGAAGCCTGGGCATCTTTCGTACGGGTGGATGCCAAAGTTAGGCGAAACAAATGCCACCTATTGTGCTTAAAATGTAGGTATAAATCAGCTGCTTATGTTTAAAGGACTAGATCCTAGCCTGAATGCAGAAAGGCCTATTTTCTCACACTTCAACCAAGGGGAATATTGCTATATTATTATTATTATTATTATTATTATTATTATTATTATTATTATTATTTTGTGGTCTGAGTCAGGTCATAGAAAACTTGTTGAAAGGCACAAAGCACTGTCAAAGATAAGACAGCATTACACTTGCTCGGTGGTGGAAAAAATGTGTTATGTAAAATCATATGTAACTACTTACTCATGTTTTACACAGGAACATATTGTAACACTGGTATTTAATAACTCAGTTCACAGCTTCCAAAAGCTGGAAAACTCTTTGCAGAGCTGCATTTCCTGCAGTAAAGGTTCCGAATTGCTGCATATGCAGTGTATTTGGTACATGWAGCCTCATCAGCTTTCAGTTTACTCATAATATATTGTAGGCATCAGCATGAAAGAGACCTTGAGATTTATTGCTTTGGAAATCTGACCCCGAGTCTAGAGCACCAATACTTAAAGCAAGTCAGAACTGGACTGTTATAAGACAAACAGATAATTTTTGGGCCAAGACTGAAAAAGAACAGTGGGCTTTTTGTTTTGATTTTATGATGCCAACATTTAATTGTTAGCAATTATATTCAATAAAAATATGATATAAATACGTTTATTCAACATAACTGAAACATCAGCCAACTTGTGGAAAATCATCAAGGGCGTAGGAGCAGATCCACCAACTGCTAAGCAGARTAGCTCTTCTAAAGACAGTGGACTTAATCACATGCACATCAGCTAATTTCTGGCCACTATTATTTTTCACTATTACCCTTATGGAAAGTTATCTTCTCTAAATGCATAGAAATACTTTTGATAAGATGCCYAAACTATGTGATTCTGCAAATGCTTTTAAAAGGATAACATATTTCTCTTTGGGTACAGTCTTTTTTAAAACACTGCATATATGCCAGATACCTGCATTTTAACTAAATGATGACTCTTCTGGCTAAAAAGCTGGCCATCTTTAGGCAATACTTGAAATACTTGAAAGGCACAGAAGACAAATTTCCTGTACCTGGAAACTTGCCTCTCTCATTTCAATACCTCTTACGATGTGTTTCAAAATAAGCACGTCAAAACCCTCAATGTTAATACTAAATTATAATTAATAGAGCAAGATATTTCTAATAAATCTCCGTAATAACATTAGTTGAAAAGATGGTGGTTTGATCCTACTCTGGTTGGCAAAGCTCCTAGGGAATGAAGCTTGCAGGCCATGGCTTGAATCTGTTACAGAGAATCCTTATGCAACACAAAAKGCTCACCACACACAGTTTTGAGTATTGCTCCAAATTTCCACATGTTTACACTGGAAACAGTTATGAAATCCATACTCCTGTAAGCCAAATAGYGCAGATTCAAGAATTCTCACCTGTGCCAATGAACATCACATCATATTGGCCATCTTCTGCATCAACTCGATCTACTACTATCTGGGTGAACTGGTAATCCACATCTGTTTTGATCATGATTGGACGGTTGTTGATAGGAAAAACGGGGTTGTACATGGCTGGATGACTTCTTGCAAACGTTATAACCTCATCAGGAAGGTCCTTAGTAGAATCAAAGCCTCCAAAGGTTTTACTGGGGCACTGGGAATATAAAAAAGAATTTTATCACTGATCAATGCAAATATTACAAATCCATTTCACTACAATCATCCCAACTTCTTCAGCCTATTATAAAGTAAGGGGTTGGAATTTGATTGCTTCTTGATAGGGAGCAATGATTAATTCTGTCACTAATGTCTTTGCTTTATTTATTTATTTAATCTAATCTAGACTTAAATCAATAGAGTTAAGAGAGTGTAAATGATCAGCATACATCATTTTTCTTACTATGAAAATGGATTTTCAGTAATTTATTGATTAATATTAGACTTTAAAATTGGCAGAAAAAAGACACCCTGAATTTTCAAATATCATTGTGTACAAGACCAGCAAGTTCAGCATTTGGTTACCCTTACCACAGAAAATGAATTAACCGTGCCATCACCCTCATTTCAAAATTTTCTCTTCTGAAGTTGACTGTAAATTGATTCCTTTCCTAGGTTGTTGAATAAAATCAACTTAAGTGTCAGGAGAACGCCCTGCTCTGCTGACTTTTTAGACTCCTGATTGTCTCAACATACCTGATATGTGTGTTTATGTAGCTCTCATAATGAGTCTTGTTATGCTAAATTACTCTACATTGAGAAGTCAGGAAATAGTTTGGCTACAGGTGACATAATATTTGCATCTATATGGGATACACACCTAGGGTCTCTTTATTTTAAAGAGAAAAGAAAGGCACAATTTATCCCWTTTTAAGGAAGTTAGTAAATATAAAATGACTTGAATGAATCATGTCTTAAATATGTCTTTTTTCTCTCTATGGATTGCAAAGAAAGCCTTATGTGACCAGTAGCTGTTGCGGCTGATACTGTCACTATATGTCGAGAAAGTTCTCTCAGAAATAGGTCCTAGTTAGTWACTAGGACCTATTTAAATTTACAGTGTCCACTTAAGCTCTTTCTAGTCCCTATGAAGAAACACAAGGTCCCTTTGTCACCTTCTGTGGTCAAGGATGGACCAGTGAGTAAGTTCTTCCTCTCATTAGGGAAATCGGTATTGTTCTCCCACTATTAAAAAAAAAAAAAAAAAAAAAAAGATGAGGCTGAGAAGGAAAAAAGAGGTAGGACTGTGGTGTTGACATCCACAGAAACAGTCATTCCCCGTCTTTTACTGCAGACTCTAGCATTGAAGAAAATTTACCACTATTTGTCCTCATCTTTTTTTGCAGAATTTTTAAGTATTTTATGAACAATTAGATGATACTTCAAAGTAATCATTATTTTCTTAGATATCAATTGCAGACATGTACAACTATGAAACTCAGTTGACAGTGATTGTTCACAGAATTTGTACCTAAAATACAAAAAATGGGTGCTAACTCTAATTAATTTACCTTTTATTTAAGCACAAATAATATCTAGCAAATAAATTAAAAACCTAGAGGACAACATATTATTACGTAAGAACGCAAACATTGCAGGATGCTCAGCAGAGGAAATCGATTGTCTTTGCTATCACCTTGGTCCAGATTATTAATAATTCATCAGAAATGAAATTAAAAAATCAATGCTGTCAAAAAGAATAGGTGGTATATTCAGCAGAGGGACAGTTCAAGCACGCAGATAGATAAGGTGTTAATTGTCTCTTTCTGTCACATTTCTAAGTAAGCAAATTCCAACATTTTGCTCCATGACATGGCATGGAAGGGAAGGAGCGAGGAAAGAACTTTTGATTAATGTATGTGGAGCCAAATAAACAAAAATAAGAAAACAAGTTCRTCACTTTATTGGGTGAAGTTTTTTCAGGTGTTTTATTATTAACTATTCTTGCACTTTCATACCGAAATATTATCCAGGTATAATCAGACAGGCTTTTCATAACTATTGGTCAAGCCATAGTTTGTCTTAAAAACTGTATTTAAAATCTAATACTTCAAAGTCTGCTTCACATCTGGATTAATATTGTAACTATAGTTCAAAACTAATAAGTCACATTAATTAGATAATGATTAATTAGATAATTTATGTAAAGTACTTTAAGTAGAAAAATCACCACAAGAGTACTAAGTATTGTTAATTGCAGCTGGGCAAACACTGAAAAACAGTAAATGAATATTCATTTCAAAGTAAATGCATTTCAGCTGTATTTCAATTGCTTGGATATTTATTTTCTGGCTCATTTTCTAACAAAAGATTTTACTGGCAGCAATCTTGACCAAGATGTATTTTATGCAGGAAAAATATCACATAAAACTATCATTAGTTCCTATTTAAATGAGAAAAGTGATCTAAAGACCAGAATCCTGCTTGTAAGCCTTATTTTTATGAGAATAAACAATGACAGTAGTTTTGTATCTTTAAATCTACAGCTCATTACCGGAACTAGACTATAGCTCACATTCAGCCCACCCTTCTTAAGGAACCCGGCTGAGATCCTGAAATCAAAAAATCTTTTTGCCATAACTCCTGCTCTTGTCGCTAGAGTGAAATAGGGACCATCAATAGGTGATTTAATAAACTAATAAACTGACTGCAGACGAATCTTATCCCACATAAAACCTGAGTTGTCCTGATGAGAAAAGCCCTGCCAGGGAACAAAAATGAAGATGTTATCTTGGTTACTAATGACAAGACTGCTATTGATGAAAGTCAGTGAAGCTCAAGCAAATTGATGGGCCTAGCACCAGAACTCAGGTTTATAAACCTGAGTGATCTCACCAATGCCAAGAAAACCATCAATTTTGGTGCCTTAAGTTAAGCATGAATATGAATAATCTGATGAAGTTTGGAGCCTGTCTTAGATTCAAGTGCAATCAAAAGAACTCTCACATTTAATATCCACTGGCCCACTGCATGCTGCACAGAGATTAGCTAAGATAAATTGGCTAGGATCTACCCTAACAACTCACCTATTAAGGAACTCAAGATAACAAATACAAAGCTACAGTCACTCACTTTAATATCAATAGGAACAAAAGCTATTTTGCTCATTGCTAAAGATAGGCTTGGTACCATAAACTAGAGAAAAATCAGATTCTGAATACATCAAATGTCAGGTTAGAATTTACAAGATATATATAACATATCTTTCTTCCTCTCCCAAATAACTTTTAAGATTAAAAATAAATAAATAAAAATGGAAAACTCTTGGCAACTTCTTCACAAAATGTAAAGGCAGATAAGTGAAGCTGATGTAGAACTGTTTACAGACATATCTGACTTTCAAAAGAACCATTAATTTTCCTTTTCAATACTGATACTGGGCAAGTCACCAGATGCTCAAGAAGTTCATTGGCACCTCACCTATGAAATTCCTTAGATAATTCAGCACTGTAAAAATACAGTTGGGAACTGAATCACTGTAAGCTCAGGTTTTATTTCTTCCTTTCCTTTCCCTGTTTTTGGAAAAGGAAGCTGCAAGACTGACAGKAACTTCAAAAAGAGCTTCAAAAATCTTTCTCCTGCATTCTCAACAGATGTTCAAAGACATCAAAAACAAATCAGATATTATCACTTTAGAAACAAAACACTCAGTTTCAGCCAGAAACTTCTCTCAATTTAATGCTCAGTTTTATCCTAATGCAAGAGAATGATTTCAGCAACTGCAAGAACAAAAACACACTTTATGTGTGGCAGACATCAGGATTATAGTCACTGTCAGTGAGCTGGGAGAAATTGCTGGCCTCAACTACTCCTTTATCACTTTACTTGTGAATTTCAGTACACGTATTTTTTAGTGAAATTTTAAGTGTAAAATCTATCCCGTTAAAATAGTGAAAAAGTGTTTGTATCACTATGTTTCACTATTTTGGCACAAGGCCAAAATATAGCTTAGGAACTGAATTTCAGACCCTAATTTCCAGCTTTTTATATAAGCAATAGAAGAAATATCTACTTATTCACATTTTGTAAAGGGACATAAACTCTCCACGTAATTATATAACACATATAACTATAAAATATATACAACTATATCATATATATGTATATATTTTGTATAGTTTTCTGACATCTCAGTGATTAGGTAAATTCAGCATCACATGAGGAAAGTGATCTCCCTTGATGCTGCAGAGTTTGTCTTTTAACTTTGAAAAGATTAAGAATCCCTTTAGCAGCCACACACAGGGATAGAGGAGTGCTGTGTAATCCAGCTGTGGAACAACCACTGCTTTCTTTTACGTAGGAAGTCATTTTCATTAGGCTGAACATTCACACTGACTAGCTGCTGGAAATTAGTTGAAAGAACAGTTGAAAGAAAGTTGAAAGAATTAGTTTGAAAGAAAAATTTTAAAAATACCAAACAAAAATAAAAATCTGATGATTTAAAAAGCATCTAAGATATTTCTGGTTTGTTATCTGGTTTGTTATATCTGGTTTGTTTGGTAGCTTTACATTTATGGATACATTTTAAAGAATGTTTTGACCAGATGTATATATATACATATGTATGTGTGTATACATAAATACATACACACATACTCTCTCTCTCTCTCTCTGTGTATTTTTATATACACAGTATATAAATACACACACACACACACACACACACACACATATATATATAAGTATATATAAAAACACACACATATACATATGGGTAAAATTCTCAGCAATGACATTCCAGGCTTTCAATGGGCCAAGTCTATTTATACATGTTGTGGAGCTATCTCCGAATTTATAATTAATACATAGATATTTTCCTAAGTGCCTTTTCTTTAGACTAGTGGCAAGGTTAGAGACTGAAATACTTCAAGGACCTCAGACATCAGTAGTTAAGGAGTTGCAGATATGGGTATCTTACAGCACTGATGTTTTAGCCATTCATAAATGAGAAACAAAGACAGAAGTCAAAACACAGATTAATAATAAAAAAAATGTCAGTGGAAGCAATTACAGTTATTTCATCATCTCTGGCAGAAATATCTATCTTTTGTACTGAATTCAATGGTGGGAAAAAATGCCTATTTATTAACAACTAGGCAGATGATCTGTTTTGTATTCTCAGTAAGAATGGTTCAGTCAGTAACTGGAACAAATACAAATTCCAAAGACAAAATAATGAGAATGATTTATTAAACATYTGACCTTCAGTGAAGCTCTTCAGCCACTGCTCAAAATTCTCCTGTATTTAATATGAACACACAAGGAAAAGTCCAAATAAAGCTATCCCACCACTTCATGCTTTAGAAGTGCYCTGTAAATTCTGCACCTGGGGAACCTGTTTATTTTCCTTCTATACGCACCAATATCTCTCTCTGCTTCTTTCCTGGATCTCAGCTCAAGGACCGTGAAATATGTGAGAATATTTTCCATGGATTTCTCTTTTTAGATGACTAGGCATCCTTGGGTACTCACCGTTCCCGGTCGTGGATATGGCACTCGCCCCTGATATGGGATCCATTGGTAGTTGGGGCCGTCCCTGTGAGCATAGGGACCCAGGAAGACCCTCCTGACGTCCGACATGCTGTACATGCACACTGCCGAGCCCTTGAAGATGTTACTAGAGACCAAGGCAGAAGAAATCATGACAAGCTCTTTAAATTATCTGTCCATTTAATCAAATAGGAGAGTTGAGGGAATAGCAGCTTGTTGCTCTCTAATTTATTACATGTGCTGATTATCCAAACTCTGATGTACTCTCAGAGCAATCGCCACTCACCTCCAGCCAAAGTGCAGCAGGACTGATACCATCTCCCAGCTATTTTGCTAAGCATACAGCTGCTATTCCACTATTTAAAGCATATTGTCCCCAGAAGGCCTAACTTGAGGAAATGTCAGCAGTCCTGTCTCTGGGGCACTATTCAGTTCTTTGCTTCACTTCACATTTTTTCTTTTTTGTATTATCTTTCGTTGTTTGGGCAGCACACACGCTGTTCCTTACTGTGCTCTGTTCCAGAGCTGTTTCTTACCTTGAGATTTCTTACTGAAGACAGTTAGTGCTTGCAAATCTCTCTCCTATGCACCATTATCTTTAGAAACATTCTTTCAATTTAAAAACTAAAATCTTTGGCCTTCAGAGATAAATTCAGAAACATGTGCTGCCACCAGTGGTGCTGACCTTCCTCGGGCCAAGTATAATTTTGTTCTCAGTAGAAAGTGCAGCCAAAATATTCAAACCACAGTTAGACACAGTGAAATAGTATGACTTTGAAAGATTTTTAGATTTTCCAGATTTCAACAWTACTTTTACTAATATCTTTCTGAGTAGTCAATTTCCCACACGACAGTTTTCCACTTTTACCTTTCACAAAAAAAAAGAGATACTGAAGCCTGATGTTATTTTCCCAGCACTATATGGAATGGCTGCGACTTTGGATAAGCCAGTTCAAAGGCAGGAGCAGACGGAGGAACCGATGGTCTGTGTGATCTCTTGGCTCGGAGTGATGATGTACATCACTCCCAAGAAAGAAACCTAATTCATTGCTGCTTACTACCATGGACTTTGTAGTTCAAAGGTTAWGAAAATTTTCTTTCTTAAAAACATTTTTAACAAAGAGACCTCTTTAAAACAGCCAGCCACCCACATTTCCCTGCAAGTAAAACGATACTTTCTGTACCTGGAAGTTGTAAACACTCCATAGACTATTGGATTTTTAGGGTCTTTTGAGTTCATTAGAAACACATCCTCTGTAACAATAACAAGAGAGAGGAAAAAAAAAAAAGTTAACTTCTGTATTGGCAATACTAAAAAATGTTTGTGCATTGGCAATAAAAAATGTTTGTGCATTGAAAGCTGCCACTTACGCAGTTCGTCAAAGTGTGTGTCGATGCCATTGGGTCCTGGCACGGAACAGATCAGCCGGGCTTTCAGGAAAGTCGTCCATTTGTTAACAAGGCTCCTGTGTCCACCAAARTCATTCTATACAATAAAAGTATTCTGCATTAACATCTTGCAATAACAGTCTTTCCTTGAAATCTCAGCCCAAATGCACTAAATAATCCCAAGATGCTGGTTGTAGAAAACAGAGAAATTTTACATAAGAAAAACATTCTGTTTTCAAAAACATAATTTTAAACTTTTTTTTTACATGGTATCACCATAGAGTTCATAGTATCACTATGTCACTGTACAGTTGACATCATTTCAAAAGACTCTTTATACAGTCTAAAATATATAGCACTAGAGACAGATAGACAGACAGGCTGTGCAAGTTTCCCAGCAAGCCACATCCTGGTAATCCTTAACTGTATAGCAACAAAGAAGAAATACAAGTTGTGAAAGAAGAAAGTATATAAAAATGTCAGAATGATGGGATCAGATGCATAGCAGCAAAACGTGGAGCAAAAGTACACCAAGGACCTAAACATATGAGGTAATTGGTTTTCAAGCAGCTATGTCTGGACTTGAGGTAAACTGAAATTGTGCCTATGGATTAACATGAAATTTTACTGTAAATACCATAGTTGCCAGAGTTATATAACATTTATGAATGTCACTTAATTTGTAGAAATCTTCTTTAAAGTCTGTCAGAAAAATATTTGGATATTTATCAGAGTGGATGGATGAATCATTCTGGAATCATTAAGTCTTTTGAACTGTTGCCCATTTACAGATCTTAGCTTAAACAACTATTTTTAAAAAAATCTTCCTTTGCCTATGTTTAAAAAAAACCCACTATGGTGGGAATGTAAAGGTATTAACATTCCTCTAAAAAGTAAATTCTTTAAATGTTTTTGGTCTACTTGGAAGTATCATATTTCCTGTCTTTGCAGACATATTCTGAGCCTTCAAAAATGACTACGATTTTTAAACAGAACATCACAGTTTGTGAAGCTTCCCAAACAGAAAAGAAATGAATGGTACACCTTTCCATGTGCTATTCCATAACTAATTTCACTCTACACAATCTCTGCTTCAGTACAAGGCCACTCTTACCACAGAATAGTTTACAGGTAAGAATTATTAAAATTTGCAATTACTAAAATCAGTCTCAAAATGCCAAAGTATATTCAACCTCAGAGTAAAAAAGTGATCACTTTACCTTACAGATCTGCCCTATTCTGGCATGAGTGGCTTTCCCAGTGTGCTCCCCATCAATTGCATTTTCACGGAAGAAGAAGTAGATTTTGTCATCTTCTGGATTATCACTCTCTGGTATCAGGTGAACACTAATGAATCTAGGATCTGAGAAAACAATGTCATTGTGTGTGTTACTGATCCATGAATTAAATCACTTGTCTTCATTGATCACTTGTGACTTAGTTCATCAACCACTATATTACATGGCAAATATGGCCGTGTTAGCTACATTCTTGCACAGTTACGTGTATTTATATTCCGCTTATCTTTTTGCTGTAATTAACTCTGCTTTTAGAAAAAGATCCGAAGGCTAGAAATGTATGATCAAGCCAAAAGAACTAAGAAGTGCCTTCTCAAACCTCAATCTTCAGTTTCTCATGTTCCCGTGTAACACAAATAACCATCTTGTATGTTTTTGCTCTGCATTAGCTTACAGGCAAGCCACGTCAACACACACCAGCATTCATCTGGTAGCATATCTAGCCAGCACATGTTTTCTTGATACTGTCTACCTCCAAACTATCATCCTCTTGGGAAAATCCAACATTTGATTTGTTTCCAGAATAGAAGTATAGCCATKAATTTCTGTAGGGGGGGAAGAATCTGTTCAAGATTGTTGAAAACCTATGTCTTGTCTTACCTGTTTTTAGTTTGTTGACACAGAAAATGTTTGTCTCCTGACAATTATAATGATGCTATTATTTGATGATGAAGAAAAAATATCAGCACATAAAAATATATAAAGTTAAGACAAATTGATTGGTTATGTAGAAATGGCACAAAGAAATTTTGGGAGAGAAACCTGCATAAATCCTAAGTCCACACCAATGGTGAATCTTACGCATCATTTCACTTTAGTGAGATACTTCAAYTGATATCTCTCACTGTATTTGGAAAAAGAAGGCATATCCAATAGATCTAACAATCTGTTTTACAACCAGTTTACATCCTGCTGGGATAATTAACTAGGAGTTACATTTAACTACTCATAGCCCTTTTCCTATATAAAATTATAAGCAGTTTCAGTGTCTTGTACTAGTTTCTTTCCAGCATAAGTTTATGCCACGTAGTCATGGAAATAGTGAACTGTATTTTGCAAGTTTATACTCACCACCCCATTAAATTCATCGTCTTATTAAGRTGGTTGTGCTTGTGATCAGCCTATTTCGGTATATTAACTTATATGCATGTATATGTTTAGATGTTCCTATTATATAGRCACATACAGCATCATTTTATGTATATACTGGTTATAACAACTTTCACCTGAAAATACAAGAGCTAAATAATAAATGGGACTTTGCGCCTTTTGAATTACATGGCACGAGAATRGTCATATTGGTGCAGAGCAAAGGGTACTCAGACTTGCACACAGACTCCAACATGATCAAAAGCAACTACCCGGGAAACAGAAAGGACATGGTCAGTGCAAATGCTGATTTCCTGGGATAATCTCCCAGCCTCCAACTATTTTCAATGCAGCTAATACCCTAAGATTGGCTGGTGTAACACCAGACTGTCTCTGTACAGAGCAGCTCTCAATAGATTTTTCATCACCTATCTGTACGGACTTTTCCTGAGCCCATGCAAACTTTCAGAATTCACAGTATACTTTTGCAATTTGTTTCACAAGTATACAAGCTAAAAAGAAAAAAAAAAGAAAAAAAAAAAAAAAAAACTACTGATCTCTAGTTTTGAACATGGATCCTGATAGCTTCATCTAACGCCTCTTGGTTCCTTTACTGGAAATATCCACAGCATTCAAACAATTACACAGGGCTATAATAATGTTTTTTTTGATAAATTCTCTGTTCTTTCTCTGTTAATGCCTAATATTTCAAAAATTCCAGTAATGACTTCCTGAGCAATAAGCTGACATTTTCAAGGAACTGTATGTGCCACAAACTCATTCACTCTTCATTGGTAAAGCTCAATCCACAGACCATCATTTTGCATGTGAAGATAGGCATATTCTTCCTCATGGCTTTCCCCATGGTTTACCACTACATCATTCATCAAGACTAATTTAATTTGTCATTTGATTGCTTAGCTACTCAGCTGCATGAGATCCTTTTGCAATTCTTCACARTCTTCGTCTCGCTTTGCTGAATAAAGAAATTTTCATCAAACTTAGTTATCTTGCAGGTCAACCTTTTCCCAGCTCCTGTGCTGCTGAACAACACAGGCTCAGAACATAACCACACGGAATTGTATTACCTGTTCTATAAGTCACACCTTTTCAGACATTTGAAATCATTAAACATCAGTAAGAAGCTGAAGCTCTCCAACCCACAAAATCAGCAGCTTAAGCTACTACATTCCCTTCCTTTCTTTCCAGCATGCATCCAACTGCATTCATACTACAGTGATGTGAGGCCCAGGATACATAACACTTACACCATATCATAACATGAATAACATCTGTTATTCTTTGTATAAACTACCAGTGCTTTCAATGGAACTTATTTCACRGGAAACATAGGCCACAGCTTAAAATCTTCGTATTTCATAAAAAGATACATTGGAAGAGAGTACATCCATTAGAAGACACTGGTACAGGCTATTGGATCTGGAGTACTTTTGCCCTGAACACAAAGAGCTATTTTTTACAATCTAAAGACCTTAAGGAAAGGGACAAAAAAACATTCAGCCAAAACTTAAATACATTCCTAAACAGTCAAATGATTTGTCTCTAGCACAATGGGTTTTGTAAATCACAAGATATCAAATTCTAAAATAAATCAGGCATCAAAAATCTAACTTTACACTGCCCTATGAAGATCCCACAGGGAGTCCTCTTCAAGTCAGTAATGCTGCTGATAGAGCAAGGTTATATAAACTTGCCCTCAGTTAGCATATTATTATTCTTTTCTTTCTCTCTCATACTTTTGCAAGTGAACCTGGAACACTAAGGCAGCCTAGCGTATAGAAATGGATTGATGCAAGAACAACAGAAAAACAACAAAAATATTGAGTATATATATTCCAAATTATTCTAGTAGACTGGTGGCACAGAAGAGGGGTGGAAGGCTGATAATTTGAGTCATACAGAGATCACAGGTCTACGTGCTTCTGCATTTTTTTAAGCAAACAGTGCTCATCTGCAAGAAGTCAGATTTTCAATTAGCACTTGATATTCCTAACTATACTTAGTGACTAAAACTCCACACAGCTT